GGGGCTTCCCTGAATTTGATTTCTCCTGCGGGTTTAGCAGCATGAAGATGTTTCATGGCTGTGTGTGTCCTGGGATATTTGCTTCCAAAAAGTTTTCCCCAAAATGCCAGGACCTGAGAGCTGATAAACCCTATTCAAGGGTCTGTTGGGACCATAGATAAGTAAGCTCACAGCAGTAGCCAGGCCCAGCTCATGGCTGTGGGATTGCCACATGGCCTTGGTAGCTCTGAGAAGGCTTTCCAGAGACACTGACAATTGAGCAGGGTTTTGCAGGACAAGTAGAAGTTTTCTGCTCTGCAAAGTGAGATAGGGCTTAGCAGGCAGAGGGCTCAGCATAAGCAAAGACCAGGAGGAGAGAAAAAGGGATGTCTTTGGGTGCATACAGCCAGTGACCTCAATTGTTGTGGTCGGAATGGCTGGTTCTTAGGAAGGTAAAGCCTTGCAGGCAAGCCACAGTCAGGGTGGCCCCAAGGCCTCTGCTACAGCTGGAGATGTGCCTTCCTGTGGGGTAGCTTTGGTCCTGGTAGTCAACATTTTTGGGGGGGTCTGGGGGTGGGTACTGGGGATTGAACTCAGGGGCACTTGACCACTGAGCCACATATCCTGTCCCTTTTAAATATTTTATTTAGAGACAGGGTTTCACTGAGTTGTTTAGGGCCTCACTAATTGCTGAGGCTGGCTTTGAACTCACAAATCTCCTGCCTCAACCTCCCGAGCGAGCCACTGGGATTATAGGCATGCATCACCACGCCCGAACCTGGTAGTCAACTCTTGATGGACCACAGTGTAGATCTGGCAGGCTAGGTCGCCTCTCCTCCTTTGCCCAGAGCAAAACACTTCTAGCCGTGCCCAGAAAGGAAGCAAGTCTCTGTCCCCAAGCTGCGTAGGAGGTGAGACTCTTCCCTTTGGCTGTGGAGGGATGGAATGGCACTGAAGACAACCCTGCCCAGTCCCAGCCTGTGGCTGTTGTCCCTACTGAGCCAGGAACCGCCTCAGCATCATTTGTGGCTGGGAATGCAGCACATGTCCACCAACTCAATGCCCAGAGCGTGGCGTGGGCCCGAAGGAGCTGACTCCAGGCAGATGGAGGAGGCAGGAGCTCCTCAGTCTGTGTCATCAGCGAGGGCACAGGCTCCAGCCCCCACCTACTGGAGGGCATGGTGCCCAGGAGACAGCAGGACCCTCATGTCTTCCCTGCAAGTTATTTATAGACTCGCTATGGTAATTTGTGGCAATCACAGCATTTAATCCTGTAATCACACTGCAAGCAGGCACCCAGCCCAGCGAGGCTGGTGAGCCTGCCAGGGCTCAGGGAGGGACTTGGCGGCAGGGCAGGCCAGTGCAGAGGCGGCGATGTCCCCATCAGCCTCCAGCTCCATTCGTCAGCTGTGGCCCCAGCTCTGTGCCCCCTGATTGAGCCTGGAGAATAACAAAAGCAACTAACACAGAGCACCTCTCTACTCCAGGCCCTGCCTGAAGTTCTTCGTGCGGATGAGCCACCTATCCTCACCACTGCTCTGTGAGGTCATTAATAATAGCATCCTGCGTTCCAGATGAGGAAACTGAGGCACAGGTCACACGGTTGATAGGAGGCACGTCTTGAACTCCAGCACTCTGGTTCCAAAGTCTATGGTTTAGCCAGGCCTCTCCCAGCCCCAGAGGTGAGGGGCATCCCAGGTTCTGCAGCCATGGTCTCAGCCCTGGCCATGCTCTGTTCCTCCTGCGCCACCTGCCCCAGAGCTGCAGGTTAGTCTGCAGGCACCATGAAGCACAGCTGCTTGTCGGTTTCCTCTCCAGGTGTGCTCTTTTCCTATTGACAAAACATTTCATGTCCTAAGAAGAGGTTTCCTGGCAGCAGAAAGGGACTTTCATCTTTGAGGTACCATTGTCAATTCGTGCTTCCGTGCCTTCTCCTGCAGAATGGGGATTGCTGCGTCCACCTCACTGAGATGTTGTGTGCTTCAGAAGGATGGTGCAGCACATGGCTAAGCATCTTCCTCTGCCTAATGTGGGGTCCTCCAGCTGGGTTCCCTCTGTCTTGTTATGTGTCCTGCCTGGGGCAGGTGACCTGGGTTGTTTGAACTCAGTTTTCTTGACTATAAAATGGGACTAAGAGCAAATCCATCCAAACTGAGAGGATGATTGAGATTAGACATGTCAAGTGCATATAAGCCTGGCACATAATAAGTGCTCAGTAGAACCAGGCCATTCCTGTGGTCTTTTATTATTGTTCTGAAGGTGGAGTCCAGGCCTCCCCTAGCCAAAACCAGGGCCAGGTCTTTTCTCCTCCTCCTCCTCCTCCTCCTCCTCCTCCTCCTCCTCCTCCTCCTCCTCCTCCTCCTCCTCCTCCTTCTTCTTCTTCTTCTTCTTTCTTTCTCTCTCTCTCTCTCTCTCTCTCTCTCTCTCTGCCAGGGATTGAACTGAGGTGGGCTTAACCACTGAGCCACATCCCCAGCTCAGTTTATTTTTTAATTTTTATTTCACTAAGTTGCTTAGGGGTCTCACTGAGTTGCTGAGGCTGGCTTTGAACTTGTGATCCTCCTGCCTCAGTCTCCTGAGCTACTGGGATTACAGGCGTTCGCCTGGTGGGCCAAGTCTTGAGTATGTCTGAAAGGCAGAAGAACTTGAGCTACTGGAAGGAGCATCAGAAAGTACTGGGCAGAGTCAGGTCTCAGAAGAAATCTTTGTCTCCTTCTCCTAAAAGCCATCACTCAGGAAATGATTTCCTTCCTGTGTGGTCAGCTGCTAGGCGCTTAGGAAACAGTTATCCTCTGACCAGGGTTATGTCTGGGAGGGCAGAATATTTCAGAAACTGCATTTTTTTCTGTGGAGAAAAGCTCTTTGTTGGGCATTCTTTGCAAAGCACCCTCCTCCTGGGCTGGTGGTGGCTGAGGAGGTGTTGACTCATACACAGGTAGGTTAGGGATGCCCAGGAAGCCTGTGGGAAGGACTGTCCCCAGATGTGACTCCTATCAGGGAGCTGCAGGCTCCTGGAGGGTAAGAGGGGGAGTGTGTGAAGGAAAAGGCCATCCTCATCTGGACCACGCTTCTGTAAGAGGCAACGAGCTCCCCATGAACAAAGTCAAACAAGTGCTTCATGGCCTAGCTGTGGGTCTTGGAAAATGGAATCCATCTCACAGTGGGGAAAGGAAAGGAGGCAAGGTGGACCGGATGGAAGGAAGGATTCCTCAGGGTGGCAGGCATTAATTTGGGGTGGAGGGCAGCTGCTGGGTGTCTTTGAATTCTCTCTTTACCTGAGAGGTGGATATCATGACATTTGGGGGCATGGGTGTTAAATCAGGGGTGGGCACATTTTTCTGTAAAGGGCTAGATAGTAAATATTTTAGGCACTGAGGGCTGTACGTCTGTTGTCACTTCTGAAGTCTGTTGCTATGGTGTGAAAGCAGCCGTAGACAATATGTAAATGAATGAACCTGGCTGTGTGCCAATAAAACTTTATTTACAAAAACAGGTGGTGGGCCAGATTCCACCCTTGGCTATAGACCTCTGTGTTAGAGAAACGAGTGCTCAGGAAGGGCTGGGTGCCAGGAAGCACTTCCTGGAGGAGGTGTTGAGCCAGGCAACTGGGAGGAGTCAGGAGCACATTTTTTTTTTTTTTTTTGGCAGTAACTAGTTTCACTCCAAAGCTCTGGGTGATGTTGATGGTCCTCCAGAGTGTTGGCCATACCTCTCTGAGAGTCCACCTTCCTCTGGAACATGGTTCAAGGGCTTGCTATGACTCTGAGAGCTTCAACCACACATGTATATGTTATATGTATATATATATTTATATTTATTATTATATTATATTATTATTATCATTTGTGATGCTGGGGATGAACTCAAGGCCTCATAGACACCAGGCAAGTGCTCTGCCTCCGAACTACCCCTGCTCCCATCTGCCCCAACTAGATAGATAGTTTTATTCTTTGCAATATTGGGGATTGAACCCAGGGATACTCTACCACTGATCTACATCTCCAACCCTTTTTATTTTGAAGAAGGATCTTGCTAAGTTGCCCAGGCTGGCGTAGAACTTCCGATCTTCCTGCCTTAAGCTTCCAAGTAGCACCACAGGCATGCACCACCCTGCCTGGCTCAACCAGATGGTTTTTAAAAAATTATTTATCCATCTGTATTAGTCAGGGTTCTCCCGAGAAACAGAACCAACAGGATAGACAGAGTTATATGAAGAGACTGATCGTGAAGGACAGCCTCATGCAGCTACAGAAACTCAAAAGTCCCATGATGTGTTGGCCAGTGGAGGTCCAGGAAATCAGTGGTATAGTTTTAGTCCAAGCCCAAAGGCCTAAGAACCAGGGGAGTCATGGTATGAGTCCCAGTCCAAAGGCCCAAGCCCTGGGAGCACCGATATCCCAGGGCAGGAGAAGACGGACAAACATACTCAGTAAGAGAGAGCAAATTCTCCCTTCCCCTGCCTTCTTGTCCTGTCCAGGCCCCCTGTGGATTGAATGATGCCCACTCACGTGGACTGGGTGAGTCTTCTTTACGACCTCCCAATTCAAAGGTCAATCTCCTCCAGAACCACCCTCGCAGACACACCTAGCCAACGTGCTTCACCAGCAATCTGGGCCTCCCTGAGCCCAGGCAACCTGACATGGTGTGAATTAACCATCACACCAGCTCTTCCAGCTGTTCTCAGAGGGAGGCGTGGCTCAGATTGACAGCCAGGACTGGAAGTAGATGTCATTAGCTGATACCACACCGTGGCTATTGTTTTTTGGTGAAGAAAAGCCAGGACAGTCCCCTCCTAGGATACCCCTACCTCTGCCACGCTTCCTTTTCTTAGTAGGACAAAGCATATCATGATGTGTGGGCCGCAGAGACAGGGACCGGGACCGGCTGACTCTCCCCAGGTCCTAACTATGATATAATCCTAGCTCTTCAATAGAAGAGCTATGAGGCCAGCTGGGCCCGGGGAGTGTCCTGTTGCCGTGGGAGTCCTGGAGATGCTGAACGCTCCTCTGTCCCCTCTGCAGGAGAACTGTACCGGGCTTCCCTGAGAAGACAGAAGTTCCCGGCCCAGGGAAGCATCGAGATCCACGAGGACAGCGAGGTGTGTTGGGTTTTTGAGACAGTTGGGCCCATCTATGGTCAGGATTTTAGGAAGAGCCCTAGGAGAGTAGACAGGCTGCATAGCTTTCATCTTTGTTTGACTTGCCGCGTGACCCTGGGCAGCTCCCTGTCCTTCTCAGAGCTTCAGGCTCCCGTATGAATGCGAAGGGTCTCTTCAGACTCTTCCTGCTCTGATATACTTCTGGCAAGACGCTCGTAGTGCATCGGAGGTCTTACCACACAGAGGACTGGACAGCTCCCCATCCCCCAATGCCCTTATGTCCCCCGTCCCCTGTTGCCTGCCTCTCTCTATCCCAGCCCTGTCCCTCTCAGGAAGGTTGCTCTCAGCGCTCCTGCAAGACACACGTTCTCCTGCTGGTGCTGCATGGGGGGAATGTCCTGGACACGGGGTCAGGGGACCCGTCCTGCAAGGCGGCTGACATCCACACCTTCGGCTCTGTGCTGGAGAAGGTCATGCGTGCCCACTTCCCGGCTGCTGTGGGCCACATCCTCATCAAGTTCGTCCCCTGTCCTGCCATCTGCTCTGAGGCTTTCTCGCTCGTCTCTAAGTGAGTCCATTTCCGCTTGGACGAGCTGGGTTGGTGGGCGCAGGGGGACATTGGAAGGGCTGCTCTTGCCATGCGGGTACCTGATGGGCGGGGGGGAGGGTGCCTGCTGAGGCCTCTGGGAGGTGTCACATCCAGATTACTCATAAGCATCCCTGGTGGAAAGTGGTCTGTAAGAGTCTTCTACCTGGGAGCGAGTCGTGTTAAGGTGCTCATGATTCCTTGGGTCCAGTTCTTGGGCTCAATGGGCCTGATCCAGTTGGCACAGATAAGAGAACTGAGAGGTTCAGCATTTTCTCCCACAGTTACCCAGCATATGGAGCCAGGAGCCACACTAAGGCAGCCTCACTCCTAAGCTATGCAATTACTGCCTGCTAGGGATAAATACTATAATGGGGGTGGCCCAGAGCACCGTGGGCACTCTGAGACAAGGCCAGGGAAGACTTCCTAGAGGAGGTGACTTTTGAGTGTGATAACAGTCAAGTGTTAGCCTCTCAGATCAGCCTGGATTTGAATTCCTGCAATGTGACCCTGGGAAGCTATTTAACCTCTCCCAGCCACAGTGTCTGCATCTTTAAAATGGGAGCAGCAATGATAATAACTGCCTCCCAGAGTGCACATGAGGGTTCTGTGTGCTGGTGTATGCTCACACTCACCCCGCATCAGCACACGTCGGTAGAGAGTGGGCTGGGTAGGAAGAGGTCCTGACACAAGGCAGAGAACCTCACGGAGTAGGAGGAGCAGGGATGGTGTGGACAGAAGCACAGGCCGAGCCCTGGGCAGCACTCTTACTGCAGATGCTGGTGCGTCCCCATCCACTGTAGGTCCTGGTATCTGTGGGGGACAAACTGAGACACCAGGGGCCCTCCAGAGTCGGTACCCTCTGGGGGATCCCACCCACTGCTCCTGGGCCTTAGGGCTCCAGTGCCCCTAAGGTATTCTTGTTGAATTTGATGAAGGCAGGTGCCTGGAGCTAGGTGGATACTCTGGTTTCTCAATAATCTGCACAAAAGACCTGAGCACCTGCAGGGCCCACGTCCTATAGAGCATTTGGCATCTTGTTAGGACTGGAAGCCGAAAGCTGGGTACTTTTCGTAGCTAGGGATGAAAGAGAGCTGTTGGCACCTCTATCTGGATCCAAGCCCCTCTCACAAGACCTTGCCAGAGCCTCAAGAGCCCCTTCACCCTGGGGCTTGGGGAGAGTGGAAAGAAAATCCCAACAGGGAGCTGGGGTTCATGGGTAGCTCCCAACCACCCAGGGAAAAGGGAGCAGGTGTGCTCAGCCAGATGTGGCTCTGGGGAGAGCCTCAGCCGAACAACCTGTCCAGGGGTTCCTGGAAAGGCCAAAGTCCCCCTGTCCTGGGTGGATCAGGAGCCAGCATGGGCTGGACTTTTTCTTTCCCTCTTTCTTTTCCCTGCACTGAGTAAGCAGAGAATGATTTATCTGTGTTCCCAGGACGCCTGCAGGCAGATCTCAATCAGAGGTGGAAGGAAGGAAGGGGATTAGGCCGCTGGTTCCCCACCTAGTTAATCGCCCCAGTCCCTGGTGTGATTCTTGTCAAACTGTAAAAGCAAGATGTGTAGGTTCACCCCCGGAGCCATTGAACCGGGAGGTGGGAGCCCTGAAATCTGCATCTTTAACAACTCCTCAATCCCTGCTTTGTGGCAGGATTTGGGAGCTGCTGAGGCAAAGGCAGCCTCTCTGTTGTCATACTATCAGTCCGGGAGTTAATTGTCTTCGTTCCTAATCAATCTTAGGACCCCGCCTCTCCCCCACCCGCAGGACATCTGACCTCCAGAGCTGGGTCACCACTATCTCCAGGAAGACGGATGGCCTGGCCATCCCAGGGTGCAGCGGGAGGGAGCTTACCTCTCCCCCAGGCAGCTCCTTGCCAGGGCCATTAATCACCCCGTAATCACTGCTGGGAGGGAGTTCTTTCTCAGCTAATTAAAATCTCTCCGGCTGCAATGGAGGCCTGTTTCCTCTAATTTGTGTTCTTTGGAGATGAGGAATAGCTGGTGGTGTCAGCTATGCACATCATGAGGACTCTGCCACCTGCCGAGGGTGCCTGAGCTCTGTCACTTGCCCTAGATTCCATTGGGTCCGCAGGGGGATCCAACTGGGCTCTGGTCAGCCTGAGCTTCGACTGTTGGGGAAGGGCTGGCTCTGGGCAGGGCTGGGGAGTTCCCAGCTTCCCTCTATGTCCAGACTCAACAATGCACCAGGGCTCAGAGGCAAGCCAGGTGGACATGGGAGGGCTGCTGAGAGGGTGATCTCAGGTGGTCTGAGCTGCCCAGTAAGGGAGAGACTTTCTAAGGGGGGGGGGCGGGCAGGGAGGTGATGTGAAGTCTGACACTCTCCTAGGAGTGTGGGTGCCATAGGGCAGGCTCTCTCAGCCCTTTCTGCAAAGCCTGGGAGAGCTCTGTATATAACACTCCTACACAGGGATTGCAATACTGTGTATTCAGCTAGGTGCCCACCTCCAAGCAGTATGAGCCCCACGGCTGGCATGCCCTCTCTCCACCTCCCTGCTCAGCTTCTCCAAAGGTTTCCTTGAAAACCTACTTCAGACCTTCTGCCCTCCAGGAAATCTGCATGATGCTATGTCCCCCCACCCGCAACCCACACTAGTTGGCTCCCTGGCTGACTTCTTCCTAGGAACTGGGGTGACCTTAGGGCCATGGAGAAGAGGGCAGGAGAGCATGGCGGTGCCACACCACGGGCTGGACACACAGCAGTCAGCACAGGCTTGAATTCCCCCTCCTGCTCCCCGTGTCTCCATGGCCGGTGCTTTGTCTCACACGAGCACCTGCCTGGGTCTTCCTGAAGAGTCCCTGGAGCAGGGGGCCCAGTGCCAGGCCAGCAAGTGCCCTCCTCTTCCTCGTCCTCAGCCCCACACCTGCCCCCTCCCTGATCCTGGCTGGGCTTACCTTGGGCCCCCTGTCTGCAGCCTGAACCCCTCCAGCCATGATGAGGGCTGCCTCAGCAGCAGCCAGGACCATGTCCCTCTGGCCGCCCTGCCCCTGCTGGCCATCTCCTCCCCGCAGTACCAGGATGCTGTTGCCACCGTCATCAAGCGAGCCAACCAGGTCTACAGCGAGTTCCTCAAGTCCTCTGATGGGATTGGCTTCAGTGGACAGGTAGGATGGCCTGTTCTCTGTCCTCGCTGCTGCCCGGGAGAGAGGCTGGTCTTTTCCAGAAAGATCAAGGCAGACCCTTCTAGAATCAGAGCATCTGAGATTGATGGAGGCTTTTGAGATTTGGGATTTGCCTGCCATCTGCAGATTGGAAAAATGAGGCTAAGATTCTAAGATTTGGAGCCCATGCTGATCCCTAGCTGAGTCTGACCCCTGAACACAGGCTGATCTTTGTCCTTGGGCTGACCCTAGATAAAACCAGGACCCCAGGATGACCCTGCTTCCCATTTGGGCTCTCAGTGCCTCTACAGGAGAATGCCTTATTCTCCCACGGGAAAGTGACCCCTGCTCTGTCTGTGTTGGGGGTGAGGGGGTCGTCAGGGGCAGGCCTGCATGCAGTGCCAGCTGTGTGTCCTACAGGTGTGTCTCATCGGGGACTGTGTGGGTGGACTCCTGGCCTTTGATGCCATCTGCTACAGTGCGGGACCCTCAGGGGACAGCCCTGGCAGCAGCAGCCGGAAAGGGAGCATCAGCAGCACCCAGGTGTGGCGAGGTGGTGGGACTGGGGAGGGTTTGTCTCTGGGAGCCCTGGGAGATCAGGGGCCTCCCCTGGGAGTGGTCCTGCTGACCCTTCATGTTGGCACAGTGACATCATGGTATACAGGATTATATGCAATCCTTCCTGCAAGAGTAGCTAGAGATGATTATCATAGGTAGGGAAACTGAGGCACAGGGCGCTGATTGGGGTTCATGTCACTGGACAGCTGGAGGGCCATCTGGACATGGACATAGGAGATAGCTGTGCCCCATCATTGCGTGGCACTTTTTGAAAGTGTAGCTCCCCGCACCACAGGAGGAAGGGCTTCGTGGCCCGGGGGAGGAGGCAGGGCTCCAGAGTCTCCTGTGACTGCAGTGCTTCCTGTCTTCCACCTGGCCCCTAAGGACACCCCAGTTATGGTGGAGGAAGATTGCAGTCTGGCCAGCAGCAAGCGGCTCAGCAAAAGCAACATCGACATCTCCAGCGGGGTGGAGGACGAGGAGCCCAAGAGACCGTTGCCGCGGAAACAGAGCGACTCCTCCACCTATGACTGTGAGGCCATCACCCAGCACCATGCCTTCCTCTCAAGGTACCCCCCGCCCTGGCTTCTGCCTTCTTTTCATCAAAGCATCCAGGAGACAGCCTTGTCCCAGACCCTTCCATGGGGACCCCTAGAGATATATTGAGATGCTGGAACCCAGGCCACTTACCATGAGTCCTGCATAGAGATCCAGGGACTTGCTTTCTGTCATTGCTCTGCTGAAACTTGCCGAAAGAATTGGGGGTCAATTTGTTTCACCTCTCTGAGCCTCAGCTTTCTCTTCTGCAAAAGAACAACACTGCCCACACCACTTCTCTGCATGGTTTGAAGAATCTAGTGAAGTAACAGATGGGCGCCTGTTCTGAGAGCTATCCCAGGTGTGTGTCCTCTCTATTTCTCAGAGGAGGCCACTCATGCCACCAGTTGCCAAACAGTGGAGGTCAGTACTCTGGTCTCCCTGTCCCCAGTTCAGTGCTTTGACCACAACACAGTTCTTTTTTTTTGTACCAGGGATCAAATTTAGGGGCACTTAACCATGGAGTCACATCCCCGTACTTCCCTCCCACCCCCATTTTTTTTTTTTTGAGACAGGGTCTCACTAAGTTGCTGAGGCTGTCTTTGAACTTGCGATCCACCTGCTTTGGCCTCCTGAGCCATTGGCGTTACAGGCGTGTGCCATCACACCCAGCAACAACACACTTCTGTTATAGACCTCCATGCACTGTCCTTTAACTTTTTAGAAGAGATGGTTAACTAACAAGGGTTAAATGCATGGTTTATACATTTATTTAGAACACAAAGGAGTATTAATCATAGACCCAAATTGGCAGGAATGTCTTTTTTCCTTTCTTTTTCCTGAAGTCTTATTTCCCTCCCATGCTCCTTGTTTCTTACACAAGTGACAAGTATCATGAGGTCATTAAAACCCTTAGAAAGTATATCATCTTGGGCTGTGGGTGTAGCTCAGTGGGGGAGTGCCTGCCTAGCATGTGTGAGGCCCTGGGTTCAATCCCTAGCACTGCCAAACAAAACACAGAGAAAAAAATAATAATATATCTTCTCTCTCGACCTCTCCCAGGCACAGGAACCACTATTGACATTTTAAGAGTATTTCTTTTCTATATTTTAAAACATACTTTGCATATGGTATTACTTAAAACAACAAAGAACCCAACCAACCAACCAACCAAATAAACAACAAAACCTCCCTCAAAGTCTCTTACATCATGATCTGTTCCCCATATAATTAAAAATAGTTGGTAAATATTTTTAATGGCAATATACTTTATTGAGTGAATGGATAACAGTTTACTTAATCCCAGTAACTGGATACTTTTTTTCTCTCTGAATTCTTCTCTATTATAAATAGCTCTACAGTGGACATCTTTGTGTATTAACATTGATGTATATATCAGGCTTGCAATAATCTTACCTTATCCACAGTTTTGCATTCTGTGGTTTCAGCTTCTTGTGATCAACCATTGTGTCAATATACTGACTAGAAAATTCCAGAAATAAATGAGTCATAAGTTTTAAATTGCACACTATTCTGAGTAGCATGATGAAATCTCACACTGTTCTGCTCTGGATGTGAATTATTCTTTTGTTCAATGTATCTACCCTGTATATGCTACCCACCTGTTAGTCATTTAATAGCCATTTCAGTTATGAGATTGACAGTGGTGACATCACATTGCTTATTTTCAAGTAACCCTTATTTTTACATATTAATAATGGCCCTAAATGGCAAGAGTAACAATGTTGGTATTTGTATATGCCAAAGAGAAGCTATAAAGTACTTCCTTTAGGTGAAAAGGTACAGTAAGATATTTTGAGAGAGAAAGAGACCACATTCACATAACTTTCATTTTAACATATTGTTATAATAATTGGGCTTTATTATTAGTTGTTGTTCTTTTACTATGCCTAATTTATAAATTAAACTTTATCACAGGTGCGTACACCTAGGGAAAAACAGCACATATAAGGTACAATGCACTCCATGGTTTTAGGAATCCACTGAGGGTCTTGGAGTGTCCACCCTGTGGACAACCGGGTGATGACTGTATTTCCTTCTGATAGATTCCTGGTGATGTAATTACTAGGTCACAACCTCTGTGTGTTTAAACTTCGAAATATTTAAAGCTCCTCTGATGGTTTCTCCTTTAGAAAAGCAGCTACATGCAAATGAAGGTTCATCCTTGAAAAATCCTTTAGGAAAGACCCAAATAGGCAGAGTGATAAGAAACTGGAGGTTTTTGGTAGCTGGTCCAACACAGCCAGCTTTTCCCTCTGGTGCAGGGACAGATGGCTGTTTCTTTGGCAATTAAAGAGTTGGCACGTGTTTGGGGGCCACGCCGTCCATGAAATATGTACGGTTAAACACCAGCCTCATCTTCCTCCATGTGAGCTGCTCACACTGTGAGAGGCAGAGGATCTGGGGATTCACCTTTGCAGACTCTCACTCCAGAGGGTGGAATGCTTGCCTGTACTATTTCCATTGCTACTTCTAAATTTGTTTTTCCTCCAACTCTAGTATTTTAGTAGAATTTGCATTCAGTTAATTGATAGATCACACCATTCCCTGGTTATATTGTCTTCTCTAAGTGGTACCTAATGCTCACTGGAAGTTCCAGAGAGGTCCCTGGTTTTCTTCCTGATCCTCAGCACCCAGCTCTGGGTCTCTGGCTGGATGCAAGTTGGAGCTCCAGACACCTGGAATGGGAATGGTTGGGATTCTGTGTGTGGTGTCCTGTCTCTGTTTTTCTCCTTCAGCCCCGTTTCATCTGCTGACTGGAGGGGGGTGGAGAGACCAAGCTGTTTGCGTCTGTCTGTGGGTTGTCTGCAACAGGAGTTACAACTAAAGCCCTCATCCTGGCAGGGCTGACACTAGCCAGCTGGTCTGCGGATGGGCCAGGCTGGGCTTCTCTGGTAGACAGTGCAGGAATTCTCAGCGTGGCAGCTCCATGGGGCAGGCCTGTCTGCGTGCAGAATGCTTAGTTACTTCCCAGGTGCTCAGCCCATTTTTGTAAATAAAGCTGTAGCAGATCACAGCCACACATACTGTGAAGTGTCCTATGTGGCTGCTCTCATGTTTTGATGGCAGAATTAAATCGGTGTGATGGAGACCATATGGCCCGCAAAGTCCAGAATATTTACCATCTGGCCTTCTGCAGAAAAAGTTCGCTGACCCCTGCTTTAGCCAAATGTTGGCTGGGTCTTGGTGGCCAATGCTGAGATTATCGCCAGCTCATGTTGATGGTGTCGGGTAAGCAGACTCTGCTTCTGAACTGTGCCCCTGAGATGGAGGATGGACTCTCGGCTCTCAGGCTTCAGGCTGTCCTGCTAGGTGACTTCCCTGTCCTTCCCTGACCTGCCCTCCCCTATGTCTTCCTCCTCTGGCAGCATCCACTCCAGCATGCTGAAGGATGAGTCCGAGCTCACTGCAGCTGGGGGGTCCCAGCTCTCCGAGGTCAGCCTGGGCCGCTTTGACTTTGATGTGTCTGACTTCTTCCTCTTTGGTTCGCCCCTGGGCCTGGTCCTGGCCATGCGGAAGACGGTGCTGCCTGGGCTGGATGGTGGGTATGGCACAGACTGGGACCTGAGGTACCGGTGTGTCCTTAGGCCCCTTTGTCAGGGTCTCAAAATGGGGGGAGTAGGAGGGTGGGAAATGGGGCTAGGAGGGTCCTGGAGTCAGGGTAGATGGAGGAAAAGCCGGTAGAGAGGAGTGGCAATTTCCCCAGGTGGGACAAAGACAGACAGGATTTCACTGTCCCTGTCACATGCTCCTGGCTGATTTGACCCCACTGTCCTGCAGTCATGCCCTGTGGGAAGAGTAGCCACAGACACTTACCCTGAAGCTTAGAAGGCTTTTTATGTTCCTTCAAAATGCGTATGTCAGGCGATTTGACCAGCAGGGGCGTAACTCGTGTGTCCAGAGTGTTCCATGCTTTCCTCCAAAGCTTACTGACAACCTAGGACATGGAACAGAATAAGAGGAAGGGGCTCTGGTTGGAACGAGGAGGTAGAACTCAGGGCCACCCTCCATGTCACAGAAGAACTCCAGGATTCCCTGGAGGTTGCATGGTCCAGTCCAGTGAATACCCACGGAACAGGCAGGGGCCTCCGTGGAGACACCTGCTGGTCAATCAGAGAAGTGCTCCATCGGTTCTGGCAATCCTTCCTCTGGGGTCCCTGGAGGTCTGAACAAAGAGCGTTGCTTACCTGACTAAGGAACCTGGATCTGCTTCATAGATCAGGTGGCAACTAAGTGATGTGGGAGGTGCAGGAATTGAAAGGCACCTGACCAGTGGAAATAGTAGAGGGAAGGCCCCTGGGAAACCCTTTGAATAAAGGCGCAGAGAAAGGAAAGTAGCTGAGCAGACTGGGGAACTGCAGGTGTTCGCCAGAGCCGCAGGCTGCAGTGGTAAATGGCACTCCTGGGTAAAGCAGTTGGCAAGGCCTTGAATGCCAAACTGGACATAAGAGCTTTGTTCCTATTGATAGAAGGAAGCCAGGAGAGGTTCTCGAGCACAAGAGTAGGCTCCTCAAAGCTGGACTCCAGGGAGCCTTTTAAGGCGGAGGGGGCAGATCCTAGAAGTGGGTTTCCCCCATGTGTCTTCCCCTCTCACCCCACTCGCCAGGTTTCCAGGTGCGTCCTGCCTGCAGCCAGGTCTACAGCTTCTTCCACTGCGCAGACCCCTCTGCCTCACGGCTTGAGCCACTGCTGGAGCCCAAGTTCCACCTGGTGCCTCCCGTCAGCGTGCCCCGCTACCAGAGGTTCCCACTCGGCGATGGACAGTCTCTGCTGCTCGGTAGGTTCTTGGGACCCCGAGAGTGTGTGAGCTGGAGGCTGGGCCCCAGCCAGGTGGTATTCCAGAGCCGCTCTCCTGGTCCAGCCTCGCCAAGCGGCCGGCTGATGGGTGACTTATGTGAGCAGGGTCTTGTGCTCTTGGAGGAGAGAAGAACAGGAACAGCTGACTCCTTCATCTCCAGAGCACCCACCTGTGCCAAGTACCGGCTTTGTATGAGGCATCTTGGTGTCAGAAATCTCCCCTTTGCCTTCTGATAGGCTCCTGGCCAAGCTCCTGTGGCTGGGGACAGAGTAACAGTCCAGTAGTCAGAAAGGCAAGTCTAGGGATCCATGTCCAGTGCTATTCCCAAGGTCCCCAACTGGACTATGGAAGGGCACAGTAGGGAGTAGGCCATTGCTTCATGCAAGTGGTGGCCTTCGACTAAGGTCTGACTGGGGAGGTGCATTTGGACAGGTGGAGAAGAAATGAAGGTGGCAGGAAAACAGGAGCTGGGGGGTGGGCTTGGGGAAGGGGCAGTGTGGCCTCCCGGGCTCAGAGAGTGAGCCAGGCCGGGGCAGCCTTGGAGGGGATAATCCCAGGCTTGGAAATCAGAGCACTGGCTCCACGCCACCGAGGAGGAGGTTTAGCTTAAGCCTGCTTGGAGGTTTGGGTCAGAGATGGGGAGGGGGGCGGCGGATACTGTGCAAGTGACGCATCAAGGCTAAAACCCATTAGCATCCTGTATTTCAGAGACCTATTTTGCAAAGCTCTTCTTTGCCAGGAGCTTTGATGGGTGTGCAGGACTTGCAAACCTCCCTTGTCCATTCTACAATGTTCCCTCTTTAGTCAGGGGATCTCCTACCCCCAGGGGCCACCCTAGCTCCTAGACTGGGGTTCAATTCCATTCATTCCAGCTCAGCCACAGTCCTCTGTGGCCCCAGGGGAGGAATTTGATAAAAGAAGACATGGTTAGACGTCACCCCAATGACCTCCTCTTCAATCTCCCTTAGCCTTCCTCTGCAGCTTTATTTATTGGGTTTGAGGGAGATGGTTGGGACCCTCACTCCTGCCTGCATAATTCACAACTTGAGAGGAGATGGAACACAACAGTAGACTATGGAAAAGGAGTCCCTTCCGGCTGTGTGTGTGTGTGTGTGTGTGTGCATGCGCGCTGCGGGGTGCAAGCTGACTGATGGACCAGGGCTGGTTCCTCTGTGTGTCCAGCTTCCTGCCCAGCACTGGGCTGGCACCTAGTGGGCAACTCTGTTGGAAACCCACTACTTGCCCTGACCTTGACATTCCCCCTCCAGCTGATGCCCTGCACACCCACAGCCCCTTATTCCTGGAGGGCAACTCCCGGGGCAGCCCACCACTTCCGGATGCCCCTGCCTCACTCCCTCAGGCCCCAAGGTCCCAGCGCCCAGGACGAAGGATGAGTGAGGGCAGCTCGCAGAGTGACAGCTCAGAATCCTCGGATGGCCTGGCACCTGTGGGTGCCTCCCGCAGTGAGTGAGGTCCTTTTGGGGCCTTGCCTGCATTTGAGGGAGAGGGACCTTGCTCTGGGTGGTTGTTGGTCCACAGTCAGGATGCTGAGGACAGGTCCCCCGGGTAGGGAGGAGGGGTCAAGGCAATCCTGGGTGGGGTTCCTGCCTTTTGGGGACTGCTGGACTATTGGTAGAGCCTTGAGGTCAGGCTGAGCAATGACCTCAAAGAGAACTTTGACCTCTGACCCAAGACAGAGCCCTGAACTCCGACCATGGCCAAGACGGAGCTCTGATCTTGAATGGAGCTTCGACTCCTGTCCCTGACCCAGGACTGAGTTTTGCCCTTCAAAGGCCTTGATCTCTGACTCTGGACAGGACTCTGGTCTGTAACCAAGGCCTGACCTCTCCAGGCATAGACTCAGTCCTGACCTCACCCAGAGCCCACTGGAAATCACTGCTGAGCAGCACCCTGGGGTGTGCCTGAGTGTCTTTATGGGTCTGGTCTTCCTTCCTGGGGACCAGTTTGGTGTAGACATCTTGGAGTAGAGTGGATGGGCCATTGTGAGAAGGAAGGAGGCAGAGCGGCCCACTCCTCAGAGCTCATTAGTGCTCTGGCCCTAAACTTGAGCGCCACGTGGCCTATCTACCACTGGGTCCGTACAGCTGGAGTCCCACGCTGCCCCTTGGCCACTCTGTCCTCACCTCCCTCTTGGATCCGCAGTCACAGCCAAGTGGTGGGGCACCAAGAGGATCGACTATGCCCTGTACTGCCCCGATGTCCTCACCGCCTTCCCCACGGTGGCCCTGCCCCACCTCTTCCACGCCAGCTACTGGGAGTCTACTGATGTGGTCTCCTTCATCCTGAGACAGGTACTGCTGCCCCCTCACTGTACCCCGCCCCTAGCCCCTCCAGAGGTTCACCCTTCCTCTATAGTCCTGTCTCCACTCTGGCAGCACTGGGACACTTAATCAAGGGTATGGTGACATTATTAGAGATTGGGTTTTATAAAGAACACCGGCTTCTGTGTGGCTAACAGAATGGAACTTTCTGGAAAGTCAAGTAGAAACTACATAGGAGAACACACCAAGGTGTCAACTTGGAGACTGGAGCAATACATTGCTGCTCCCTTCTGTGTCTCAGTGTCCCCATCTTTAAGGTAGCAGGTGCAGCAGAAAGACCAGTGACTGTGGGGAGGACCTGATGGGGAAGGAGGATGGGGAACACTGGGGTCATTTTGGATGGCCGTCCTGCATGGTCAAGGCTCGGGTGTATTTTAATGTATCTACAACAAGAAGCTGCAGCAGGGTTGTAAGCAAGGAAGAGCCATCCACAGACTTGTATTTTGATAAGGAAACTTGGGGGCTGCTGTTGGGGGACACAAGAGGAAGCATGAGTGCTCTGGGCAGACAAGTTTAGAACGCCTTAGAGATGACAGCTTGGACTAAGGTACGGTCCCCAACTTAGAGATGTACTAAGTGCTAAGATACTGTGGTGGAGGTGATGAGGAGCCTCCATATTTGAGTTCTGGTGGCAGCATTCACTGATTCTGGGCTGTGAGGGACAGAGGGGAGCCCAGCGATCCTGCCGGATTGCCATTTTCTGGGGTTGGGGCTGAGCTGGGCTAATGGGGAAGCCAAGGCTGAGTTTCTGGCCATGTGATGTGTCACAGGCCTGTTAGGTGCTGAGAAGGAAGGTGAACAGATAAACCTGGAGTGTAGGAAAGACATTAGGAGTGAGATGAATATGTCAGAGCTTGGATGGCATTGAAAACGGGTGATGGGTCCCAAGGATGTCACCATGGAGAGATGTTCAGATGCTGAGTCCTGGAACTCCTTAGGAGAGACCAGGAGGAACATGCCCCAAGGTCAGAGGAGAGCCTGGAGTGGGTAGATCAGAGTGAACCTTGAGTTAGGCAGGATGGGAATTGCTGGGGCCTTGGGAAGAGTGACTTCAGTGGAACAATGCGGTCAGAAGCCTATTGGAGTGGGCAGAGGAGAAGGAGGCAGGTGAGGATGTGAAGACAGGGTCTAGACTCAATCTTCCATGGAATGTTTTATGGGAGAACAGGGATGTGACAGAAATTGAGAAGGCATAAGTGGTTCCAGGGAGAGTATTTTTTTAATTTAAGGTGAGCAACATTACAGAACCTTTGGATGCTAAAGAGAACAAACTAGCAAAGTGTCAGATCAATGATGCGGAATTGAGAGGGAAGTGTGACTGGGGTAACGGCCTTGGGAAGTGGAGAACTGGGATCAGGGCTCCAAATGGTCTATCTAAGGGTCACCTTACAGGAGGGAGGGCAGAGCATGGTGCAGATCTGGTAGACGCTAGGTTTAGACCTGAAGGACCAAGACTGCACCACAGACAGAGCCATTTGAGAGACAGTGCTGGGGCTCAGCTATCAGGTCATGTGGGCAAGGAGACAGGTCCTGAGGCCCCCAGCCTCTGAAGGCCCTGGGCTGGGAGGTGGGAAGGACAGGGGAGGACCTGGCTGGCCATGAGCTGGTGGGCCTGACATCCTTGGCTGTTGGTCAGGTGATGCGCTATGAGAACGTGAGTGTGAAGGAGAGTGCTGGCTTAGACCCCGCTGCGCTGAATCCCGCTAGCCCCCGCGAGAAGTGGCTTCGCAAGAGGACCCAGGTCAAGCTGCGGGTACGTGCCTGCTGGGGTCACATGCCATTTGGGACAATGGCTTTGGGGTGGTGGGGCTACCCTGAGCCTTGAATCATCCATGTAAATAAGAGCTCGGTGCTCACACAGGCTGAGACCCATGCAGCAGGGAGGGTGGGTGAGCTGGTTCCCCAAGGCCTGGCCCCACAGGAGCCCTGAAGTAGGGGTCAGAGGCACAGGGATGGTGTGGAGATGCCAGTTGTGGGGGAGTTTCTACATGCTGGGCTTCTATCTGGAATCAGAAAGTGTCCTGCACAGTCACACAACTTTTCATGGAATACGGCCTGGTGTGATATTTGTCATGACAGAGGGAGGCAGAGATCAGGATGGAGGTGGAAAAGATAGTCAGGACAGGTCTGTGTTAGTCAGCTTTCTGTTGCTGTGTCAAAATGCCTGAGAACATCAATGTAAAGGAGGAAAAAGTATTTTGGTTCATGGTTTCAGAGGTTTCAGTGCCTGGACAGCTGGCTCCATTGCTTTTAGGCCTGGGTGAGGCAAAAACATCATGACAGAAGGTCATGGTAGAGGAAAGCGGCTCAGCTCATGGCAACTGGGGAGTGGGGTGGGGGGTGGGGAGAAGGAAGGGGCTGGAGAAAAGACATACCCTTCAAAGATGTCCCCGTGACCTACTTCCTCCAACTGGGCCCCAATCCCTACTAGTCCATTCGGCAATGAACAAATGGATTAATCCCTCACCATCCAATCTCTTTCCAAATGTCCTCCTTCTGAGCATTGCTACACTGGGGACCAAGCCTTGAACACATGAGCCTTTGGGGGACATTCCAGATCCAAACCATGACAAGGTCATACAGGGCTTGTCTGAGAAGAGTGTCCTTTGTAGGATATTGAAGGATGAGTAGCAGTTTGGGATGTGGACATTCATATGCGTAATGAACAAACACATTCATTTATTCATTCAGCGTATTATCATCAATGCTTATTCTGTCTCGGTCCCTCTGCTAGGACCATGTATATCTGAGACTGTGAACAGACAAAGCCATTGCTATGATGGGAAGCTCCTGTCTGGTGGGAAGATCAGACATGGATAGAGGATGATCGATGCTTTATGAATCATTTCTTTTTTGTCAACACTTAAGATATAATTCACATATTATATAATTTTCCCACTTAAAGCATACAATTCAATGGATTTTAGTATATTCACAGGTGTGTGCAACCATCACCAGGGTCAATTTTAGAATAACTTTATTACCCCAGAAAAGAAAGCCTTTAGTTATCTTTCTTTAGTCCCAAACGTTCCTTTCTTCCAAAGTAATCAGAAATCTATTTTCTGACTTTGAAGATTTGCCTATTTTAGACATTTCACTGAAATGAAGTCATATAATTTGTGATGCTTTGTGTCTGGTTTCTTTCACGTAGCATGATTCTTTCAAGGTTCATCTATTTTTGAGACATGTATCAGAACTTCATTCCTTTTCATGACTGAATAAAATTCCATTGTGTGGATATTTTGTTCATCCCTTCATCAGTTGATGGACATTTGTTTCTACCTTTGGCTGTTATGGATAATGCTGCTATAAATATTCATGCATACCTTTTTTTGTATGGACATATGTTTTCATTTTTCTTTGGCATAGAGCTAGAAGTAAAACTGCTGGATCAAATAGTTAACTCTGTGCTTAATCATTTGAGGAACAGCCAGACTTTTTTCCATAGCAGTCACTCCATTCTACACTCACTCCCACCAGCAGTGTGCGAGGGTTTTTGATTTCTCCCCATCTCAGCAATACCTATTATTGTCTGTCTCTTTGATTCTGGTCTTCTCAGCTGTGTGGTTTTCATTTGCATTTTATTTGCATGTTGAACACGTGATGCGCTTATTTCCACAAATTCCTTCTTCCCTCTTCAGTGCTCCTTTAAGGGTGCTTATGTCCCCCAGAGGGCTGGGTGCCTCCAGGGCAGGGCCCACAACTGCTTCTTCTTAGGGACTGGTGCTGATGAAGTGTCTGCAAACATCTGTTGAAATGAAGTAAAGGCCATGGGGGTGAGAGGAGGTTGAGAAGGCATCTTTGGGGAGTTGGAGGAGTGCTTCTTTGAAGGGATGAAGTCGAGTCTGGTCCTAGTAGATGGGGGCAGAAGGCTGGGCATGCACAGAGTGGAGAGTCCAGTGTGAGCCAAAGCCTGGAGGCCCCCACAGAGCTGGGACTAGAAGGACCAGCAGACGGAGGAGGGGGCAGAGGGACAGGGGACTGGAGAGACTTCTCAGCAAGGCCAGGAATGCACAGCTCAGGATGTGGACTTCAGTATGGGGAGCCTGGCAACATGCTCACACATCTGTACCTTATAACAATGGAGGATCTTTCATGGGGCAATTTTTGAATAAGGTGCTCCATTAGGGAGCTCTCAATAAGGTTCAGGCAGAGGTGATGTGGATGTGGCCGAGATACCTACATGGACAGTACTATGAAAGAAGCGTCACCGGGTTGAGAGATGTGGGTCTCCAAAGCTAACCTGGGGGTGTTGGAAGTCGGAACCAACTCAGGATTTGGAGCTGCAGGATGAACTGAAGGAAGAAGTGAAGAATGAAAATGTTGAGATGGTTACAGATCAAATGATGTGCTAGTCAAGATTGCTGGGCTGGGTTGGGCTGGGACAAGGGGAAGGACACCAGAATGGCAGGTGGTTGATAAGTGGGGGAAAGGCTGCCAGAATCACGAGGCTTTGCTCTATTATTCTCTCTACACTTGAGTGTTTGAAATTTTCCACTGGAAAAAGACGGATGGTAAAATGGCTGTTGGATGGGAGCCGGGACACAGAAGGGAAGAGCCAGAGGTGACGGGGCAACTTCCAGCCTAGGAATTTAGACGTGCAAGACAGAGAGGCTGAGAGGACTGGTTGTTCCTTCAGGGGCCTATGGAGGGTCCACAGCAGCAAATGCATTTCTATGTGAAGTCCAGGTGCCTTGAAGACAATGCTAGGGGATCCTGATCTGTTTCTCTCATGGGTTGGTGGGAATCATCTCCGAAACCCTAACAATAGTTAATCAGAAACCTGATTCCACATCCCTCTGGCCATCCTAAGACTGCTTTAATGATAAAGTGCAAATTCTGAGATTTTTTTTTCTGTCCTCCCAGAATGTCACTGCTAATCACCGGGCCAATGATGTGATTGCTGCTGAAGATGGTCCCCAGGTCCTGGTGGGGAGGTTCATGTACGGGCCTCTTGACATGGTGGCTTTGACCGGTGAAAAGGTACTAAGGGCTGGGCATCCCCTCCTCAGCTATCCACCTGCACCAGGTGCTTAATGGCTCCACATGGTAGGAGGGGTGGGGGTTGTCCACGGTAGGGGCATGAGCAGAAAGCCACTTGCCCTGCTTAGGTAGATGGTGGTGGCACCAGGGGATCAAGGGGTAAGGGATGTGCTTGGTGCATATGAGAAAGAAAAATAAGCCCAAGTGTCTTCAGTGGAGAGAGAGAGGGAGGATGGTAAAGCCAGGGCATGTCAGGCAGGAACCTACGTCCCAGGGCCTGCTGAATGGCAGAGAGCTTCCCAGCCCAGCCTCTTTGCTGAGCCTGCAGCCCCTCAGCCTTCAGTGGGGTCCTTGCCTTCCTTTACTGCATGCAGGTGGACATCTTGGTGATGGTAGAGCCCTCTTCAGGACGCTGGGTACACCTGGATACGGAGATCACCAACAATAGTGGCCGAATCACATATAACGTGCCCCGGCCCCGGCGCTTGGGGGTTGGTGTCTATCCTGTGAAGATGGTTGTCAGGTAAGGCTCAAGGGAACACTTTCACATTGGCTTCCCCATTTCCGTGGTCCTTCCAGCTACACCTGTCCATAAGATGGGTGCTCAGAGTTTTCTTTCGGGCTCCATCTTTGTCTGCATGGAGAGAAGAAAATGGAAGAGGCCGCCATCTCTGGCATCAGGAAATGTCACCAGATTGTCTCTGACCCTGGCCCCAGACTGACTCTGATTCCAGCTGTAGGCTGACCTCAGGCTGGTACCTTTCAGGGGCGACCAGACCTGTGCCATGAGCTACCTCACAGTGCTGCCCCGGGGCATGGAGTGCGTGGTGTTCAGCATCGATGGGTCCTTTGCTGCCAGTGTGTCTATCATGGGAAGTGACCCCAAGGTCCGGCCAGGTGCGGTGGATGTTGTCCGGTGAGTACCACCTCCCACCAGGAACATGCCTCCCCTGGGGGCAGAGCCAGTGGCCCCGGGGAAATTGCATTTCCCCCTTGGTTTTCTCTAGAAAGTCTATGGGTTTCTGGGGCTGGGTCCTGGTGTCACCCCAATAGGACTTTACAAAAGGTCTTTGGGCACACTCCTTATTTTTGCAGGCCTTGGCTCATTCATTTGTTCCTTCCTTCCTTCCTTCTCCTTTCCTCTGTCTCTCTCTCCACCCATGCACACCTCTACCATTTCCAGACCAACTTCTGGGCTGGACACTGACAGAGAGAGAGCAGCTGATTGGATAAAATCAAGTCCAGTGGGGGGAAAACAAGAGATGGGAATGAGAAATTGTAATATGGGACTCCAAAGGATTAGCATGGCAAGGGTAGGCAGATATGGGGCACTGGGAATTCTTGAGGGTCGCAGTGGGTATGCCCTTCCTTCCCCCAGTAACAGCAATTGCTTTGGGGAGAAAAGACAGGACTGGCTCACTGGCTCTGGAGGGACTGCTGACCTCTGGCTGTTCACAAGCTGTGGGAACAGCCTGCTGCTCATATGGCGGGGTCATTTACTCTCGTTAGGATAAGCCCACCTCCAGTCCCCTCCTCAGTCCACAGGGAAAGGGGAGGCTGTGGTCTTTTCTCTCTGGGGCTCCCTGGTGCTCCCACCTCCTTCACTGTGGCATCCCCACCCCATCCCCACTCACAACTCCCTAGAATCCCTGTGGGTGGCACCTGTGCCTGTGCATACAAACCTTCCCAGATCTCAGATCCAGCTTCAGAAACTCCCCATCGATGGGAGCCAAGGGTAAGGAGCAAGGCTAAAAGCTAGAGTCAAGATCCTGGTCAGGTAGACCAGCAAAACTGTCTAAATGGAGGGGTGGGGGCAGGAATCAAAGGCGTCCTGTCTCTGGCTCAGAAGAGGACTTGAGCAAATGGGGTAAGCCGTCGGGAGATTAATTTTGTTGTGGGCAAGCAGAACCTGCAGGCCATCCTGAGATGTCCAGAACTCACGGGGTCCAACTCTGCGCATGGGCCAGGAGACAGAGGGTCCGCTGGTTCTCCCTAGCGCTCCTCAGAGCAGCACCTCTGGCATCTCAGTAGGGCAGCAGCGGGTGGGGCAGATCTCTGGGCAGCGGGTGGCCTGTCCTGGGCGGACCTGGACACTACCATGCCGTCTCGCCAGGCACTGGCAGGACCTGGGCTACATGATCCTTTACATCACGGGGAGGCCGGACATGCAGAAGCAGCGGGTGGTGTCGTGGCTGTCCCAGCACAACTTCCCACAGGGCATGATCTTCTTCTCGGATGGGCTGGTGCACGACCCGCTGCGGCAGAAGGCCATCTTCCTCCGCAACCTAGTGCAGGAGGTGAGTGCTGGCCCAGGGGTGGGGCTTCGCCAGCGAAGGCGGGGCCTCGAAGCCAGGACCTCATTGGTCAAGGGGAGGGATTAGACCACGACCCTCCTCCACGCTCCTCCCCCGGGCTGCCCATCCAGCGTGGTCTGATGGCGCAAGGGGGCACACAGTTGGCAGAGCACGTTTAGGGTGGATCCCATTGGGTGCTTTAACAGCTCTGAGATGACGGATTTCTTCCTTTATCATTTCCTGACTTTCAAGCCTAAACTCTTGTCTTTACATCTGGTTATTCATTCAGTACACATTTAAGTGCCTGTTGTGTTCCTTGCTTTGTGCCTGGTGTTGGAGCTGCAGAGAGACAAATTGGACACGGTACTTGCTCTCCAGAGCTGAGATTTTTTTCACTGTGGGGTCTGGGCCCAGCACCTGGGAACTCAGAAATGCAAATTCTCTGGTTCAGACCTACTGAATCAGAAAGTCTTTTCACAAGCTCTCCAGGGGATTCTGATGCACAGAAAAACTTTAGGAATCACAGATTTAGAGCTGGGGTTGATGAATGAAAAATAAATGAATTCAAATTTCAGTGTGCATAAATAAAGTTTTATTGGAACACAGCCAAGCTCATTTGTTTATATATTGTCTGTGGTTGTTTTTTGCCCTGCCATAGAAGAGTCAAGTAATTGTGACAGAGTGCAAAGTCTCAAATATTTACTATCTGGCCTTTCACAGAAAAAGTCTGCTAATCCTAGATCTAGAGTAAGAAAGACTTGTAAATATATAATTACTGGTGCATGTTTGAAAAAAGGGCGTATTGGCAAACAGAAGAGAAAGGACTTTCATTCCCCTCGCAAGGCCAGAGGACTGTTTGTAGTGGGTGGAGACTTTTGACCTTAGTCTTGAAGCACAGGTATGGGTTGTCAGGTAAACAGTGAAACAGCGGTTAGTTGACCAAGAGAAACACAAAAGCTTGAGATTGAAGTAAAATGAAGTTTTATTGAGAAAAGCATTGCAGTGGGAAGAGCAATGTGCACTATGGGGGTGTTGAAAGAGGCGGAGGCAGGTTAGTACCTAAAAGCAGTTTTGGCCACAGGGATTAGTAACAAGGGTGATGTCAGGGATTAGTAACAAGGGTGATGTCAGCCTGGCGTTGAATGAATAGTCAGTTGCTGAGCAGATGTCCTTGAAGGAGTACTTTCTGTATAAGTTTGCTGTGGCCTTTTGTGTAAGGTTGTGTTTCTAGCAGTTTAAAAAAAAATTTTGTAGTTGTAGATGGACAGCATGTCTTTATTTTTATTTATTTTTATGTGGTGCTGATGGCTGAACCCAGGACCTCACATGTGCTAGGCAAGTGCTCTGCCACTGAGCCACAGCTTCAGCCCCTCCAGCAGTTTTTTTTTTCTTTTTCTTTATAGTTACTATCAGGCAATCATGATTAAGGATCCTTGGGGCTGGGGATGTGGCTCAAGCAGTAACACGCTCGCCTGGCATGTGCGGGGCGCTGGGATGGATCTTTAGCACCACATAAAAATAAAAAAATAAAGATGTTGTGTCCACCGAAAACTAAAAAATAAATATTAAAAAAATTCTCTCTCTCTCTTAAAAAAAAATTCCTTCCTTCATAACCACTTGACTTTATTTATTTAGTCAGGGTTGACACAAGTGATTTCATTTTTTTTTAGACACATGTTACAGCAGAGTATATTTGATATATCATACATGCATGGAGTATAACTTATTCTAATTAGGGTCCCAAATTTTGATAACTTTTATAGTGTGCAAAGGCACAGAGGCAGGAAGGAGCCTGGGACATTTTCAGAGCTACAGGCACCCAGGAAGGGGGTATGTGCAGGCATAGTCAGACCCAGGATAAGGGGAAGCTGAGTCTCCAAACGTCAATGGGGGACCAAGCTTGTTAGACCTTAAAAAGCTTGGAAACAAGGTCAAGATCATGGACTTTCTGCTGAACGAAATGGCCAGCTATGGAAGAGTTTGAAGCAGGGGCATAGCAGTGCCCAATTTGGATTATAGAAAGGTCCCCCTGGTGGCCGTTTGGAGAATAGACTGGCAGGAGAAAGGAGAGGCAGGGAGAATAGTTAGGAGGATGCTGTTGCTCAAGAGGAGGCAGGAAGAGTGACCATGGGATGGAGAGAAAAGCACACAGTCACAAAGATCTGGGAAGTGGAGTCTTTAGGACTTGGTGATGGTTGAATATAGGGGGCGAGGAGCTCTGAGATGTCCTGTTGTGTGACCAGGAGGGTTTCAGGCACTACTCAGCTCACCTCCTTGGAGGTGAAGTCTGTGTCTGTGCTGCTCAACAATGTAGCTCCGGGATGTAGGGCAATGATGACGTATAGTAGGCGCTGGATAAATGTTAGTAGGATGAATACATGAATGAATGAGTGAATGAAATGAAAGGGTGCACAGGAGGAGGACCGGCGCCGGAGGAAGATGAGGTTTGTGTGGTCACATGGAAGCGGTGATGGCCACAGGACATGAGCCAGATCAGCCTCAGTGTGTGACTTAGGGCAGAAGTCTGGGCTGCAGGTGGAGACTGAGCCATTAGTGGAGGCGGGTCAGCGAAGCCACCAGAGGAGAGATGTCTCCTGGGGAAGGGTAGGGACCAGTTGAGGCTATGCTGGGTCTCTGCCAGCAGGACAGGCAATCAGCTAAGGAACCAGGAGGAGATTTAGCTGGGGAGGAGGGCCAGGAGAGAGGGGGTCCAGGTATCTGAGAAGGGAGGGTTTTAACAGTCTCCTTCTCGTGAGGAACTGTGGGACAGTGAAAACTGATGAAGTGGACAGTGTCCACTTGATGAAGCCTGGCTGTTGGATGGCCTCAGCAAGAAAGGGATACCTCTGAGGGCCAGGTGGGCAAAAACAGTAGGATGAAGAACAGAGAAGGAGAGTCCCAATTTGCAGGGGTCTCAAGGGTGGGAGGCCGTCCCCTGCACTGAATGGTTGAAGTCACAGGGGCGAACTCAGGTGTATGAGAAGGTGGGAAGGGTGGGGAAGAAAGGGTCTGCACCCTCCTTTGAGCTAAGCCAGCTGGGAAGAAACCAACCAATGAGGTGAGGGGCAGCGGACTAAGGAAACCTTCTCTTTGGCTTAGTCACCTGGAGGGCTAGGCAGGGACAAAAAGAACAAGCTGTGCGGTTCTGTGAGTTTCTCTAGCATCTCTTAGTAGTCAACATACAGAGATGGAGAAGGTGGGTGGCAGGAGAATTCCAGGGCTGAGCTTTGGCTGGGTGACTGGGGAAGGAGGAGGATAAAAGGGCAACATCGTGGGAGGTGGAGGCCAGAGGACTTCCGGAGGGCAGGGGCTGCCTGGATGGGGCAGGGGTGAAGCAGGAGGGGTAGTGCAGAAAATGCAGGTGTGGGTGAGGTTGAAGAGCAGCCGTGGTGGGGGGCTGTAAGAGATGCAGAAGGCAGGAAGTGGAAGGTGATCAGGGCGGTGAGGCAGGAGTTCTGAGCTCAGAGGGGTGTGGTTCTGTCTGGACGTGGTGGGCAGTGATGTTAAGAAGCAGAGATGGTAGGTGGCCGGCTGTTCACGTGGACAGCATTACTGCAGTGATGGTGGGGCTTAGGAGGAAGGAACACTGTGATCCAAGTCCAAAGTCTCCAGTGAACTGGGGAGAAAAGAAAGTGGGATTGGCGGGGAGGCATACACACAACGAGGGGCAGCTACATGGTGAGCACCTCAAAGGAGGAGGTATTTAATCCAGTGGTGTGGGATGGGAGGGGAGGATGAGAATCTGAAAGTGTTTCTGGAGCAAGGAGGACTTTAGGCTTCTCTTTAAATTTGATTAGGGCTTCTGGGGAGGACATTAGACCAGCCAGCAAGAGGCAGCATGTACCTTGGGGAGCCCAGAGCTGGCCCCCAGTCCTGGCCCTGTGCTGCATAACCAGGAATTGAATTTCTTATCCACAAAGGAACACTTGGCCCTTTGTTGCATAACCTGTGTATAGTGCTGCCTGAGGTTGGGTCAGTAAATAGTGTGGTTATTACCAGATAGAGCCCTGTATCTGGCCTGGGCTATGTGGAGTAGAGGCAGGGAGGAACAGCCACTCTGGAGGTTGGTTCCCATCACTCAGACCCATGGCTTGGGGTCTGAGTGCAGTTTGAGAGTCCCCAATCAGGGGCTCCCTGGCGTTGGTCCTCGAAGGCTGATTAGGGCTTCCTCTCCCTCCATGAGCTGCCCTGTGTTTCAGTGCTTCATCAAAATCAGTGCTGCCTATGGCTCCACGAAGGACATCTCCGTCTACAGCGTGCTGGGCCTGCCAGCTTCCCAGATCTTCATTGTGGGCCGGCCTACCAAGAAGTACCAAACCCAATGCCAGGTGGGTGGAGGCCAGGCTGGGGGCTGGGGCCTGGGGCCCAGGGCCAGGGGCAGAGCGGGAGCAGGGAGTTCGGTTGTTTGTTGGGTCACTCATTTGTGTGCATTCCTTCATTTGCTCACTGGCTCATTCATTCATTCATTCATTCAACAAACATCCCTGGCACCTGCCTTGGACCAGGCTCTGTGTTGCTCATGGGAGATTCCCAACACATTACCCGGGGATTTTGTTTACATGCAGCTTCTGATTCAGTAGGCTTGGCCTGGGACCTAGTGATGCTGCTGCTGCTGCTGGTCCATGCAATATATTTCGAGTAGCAAGATTCGGGGGCTGCAGTGGGAAGGACTGGCAAGAAGGGCAGGTGTGAGGGCCAGAAAAATGACAAAGTTCCATGGAGTAGAGCTAGATCATGAGAGGCACTTTCATTTTGAGATTTTAGGGAGGGTAACAAGGAAGGGTGCTTCAGAGTCCTCAAGAATCCAGAGGAGGAATTGGGGGTGTAGGTGTAACTCAGTGGTAGGGCGCTTGCCCTGCAAGCCCCGGGTCTTGGGTTCAATCCCCAGGACGGCGGCAGGGGGTGGGGGTTGAAAGAATTCAGATAGGGACCCTGGAATGTTGGTAATGAGTTTTCTGCTTCCACTTCCCTGGGGTCCACTCCGAAGCTGGAGACTCCGTAGTTCCAGGAGGATGGTGATGTTGGGGGACAGGATCAGGAATACGGGTCTACTCTCCTCACCGGCCTGACGCCTGTCTCCTTTACAGTTCCTCAGTGAAGGCTACGCTGCACACCTGGCGGCGCTGGAGGCCAGCCACCGCTCGCGTCCCAAGAAGAACAACTCGCGCATGATCCTGCGCAAGGGCAGCTTCGGGCTGCACGCCCAGCCCGAGTTCCTGCGCAAGCGCAACCACCTGCGCAGGACCATGTCGGTGCAGCAGCCCGACCCTCCAGCCACCAACCCCAAGCCCGAGCGGGCCCAGAGCCAACCTGAGTCCGACAAGGACCACGAGCGGCCGCTGCCCGCGCTCAGCTGGGCGCGTGGGCCCCCCAAGTTCGAATCGGTGCCCTGAGGGGCGGGCGGTACTCAGAACAGGGGGGGGGGCCCAACCAGGCTGCCTGCAGGGACGGGAGGGGCTCCTTCTCCCCGACACAGGCGTTTTCCTGCTTTTTCCCTCCCGTGTCTGTCCAGCAGTGTCCGACCAGAGTGGGGAGGGACCCTGCCTCGCGTTGGGGAGGTCTCCCTGGGCTGCGACAGGGTGAAATCGGGGATCTCCGTGCAGCCGCCGCTGCTGCTGCCTCCCCACGCCCGAGACGGCAAGCCCGAGTCAAGGTTGGTGTTTGTGTAATCCGGGGGCCAGGCCTGCCCGAGCCGCAGTGTTTGGGCAAGGCTGACCATCTTTCAGAGTCCCCGAGGCTCCGGCAGCCGTGCAAGGCAGGCTCTACCTGGGGGGAGAAGCCCCCAGCCCCAGGACCAACTGCCGCTGGCAGGTACAGCTTCTTGGCTGTCTTGTGGAGGAGTGAGTGGCATTTGTGCCCGCCCTCCTTGTGACATCCTGGGTCACCCACTTTGGGGCTGATTCACTTATGACAAAGTGGTCACTTTCTGGGAGTGAGAGGACGTCTTTTTGGCTCATTCTCACGATTTGGTGTCTGTCCACAGCCCTGGGGGGCAGGGTCTGGTGCTGACGGTCTGTCCTGCAGCTGTCCTTTGTCCCCTACTTCTTGTCCTCAGTATCCTCACCATACTCCTGTGGCCCTCTAGGACAGGTGTACCTCTCCTGGGAGCCCTGCCTCACATCCTCCCCTGTGAGGCTGCAGCCTTGGGCTCCGGCCCACCTGAGCTGGCTGTGTACCCTTGAGCCTGTTGCTTACCTTCTCTGAGCCCTGCCTTTTTTCTGTAATTGGAGTAGTCCCCCCAGTTGAGATGGATGGGAGATTTTGACTCCTAAGTTGTCCTACACTATGCCCCTGGAGGCTTTTCAGAGGGCCCAGCGATCCATCCCTTCCACGACTGGGAGAGGGTTTCTGGGTGGGTTGGGAAGGAGGTGCGCTCTACTCAGCATCTCAGAGGAAGCCCCTACTCCATGGAGAATTGCAGCAGGTGGCCTGGCACTGATGCCCAAATTGGGTGTCCCTGGGAGAAAAAGAGCTCCCTCCACCCCCAACAAAGGGTACGGATCTGGCTCTTCCCATCCCCAGTCCTGCTCCGACTGATTTCTCTCTTTTGGTTCTTGGAAGGCATAGAACTGAGATCCCAGGGTTCTGGGGGTTTGCAGAATTTTGGCTCAAACTGTTGTATTCTCTTCCTTCCCTCTGCCACTCTGCTTGGTTTGAGCCTATCACCTCCTCCTGAATAGTCCCCTGAGGGTGGCAGGGCTTGGTTTTCCTGGGGGCCCTTCTAAGTCTGCCCAGGTCCTCCTGCGGCCAAGCCCCTGGCCTGGGCACAGGCCTCTGCACTCCCCTGTGCCCTGACCCAGGTTCACCCCTGCTGTGGGGCTTCCCCAGGTTGCCTCTGAGCCCTGGTGGACTGCCACTGAGGCTGGTCCCAGCTCTTTCATTGAGGCTGCCCCAGGGCCCAGACGTGTGTCTGCAGCAGGCACCTGTTTCAGCTCAGTGTCGCTTCTCTGCTCAATGTCTACCTCTTGCAGCTCCCATGCAGCCCACGGCAGCTGCTGGTGGGGGTGGCTGGCACCACCATTGTAAATTGCCTAGGAAATCCTGGGCACCCTGCTGGGCCAGGAGGGGTCTGGGCTCCAGCTCCCACCCCAGCTCTGTCCACTAGAAACATCTCCTTCAGCTTGCCAGCTCCCGCCACCTTCGCCTCACCCATCTGCCAGCTCTTCTGCTCCACGGTCAGCACTTCATCCCCATCCAAGCCCAGTGCTGCGGGGCGAGTCTGCCGGGGCGGGAGGTGTGAGCCTCCACTTCTTCTCTGGCCCTGCCTCCCTGCGATTTCTCACTGCCTGTCCCCTGGAACATGTGTCACTCTTTGGCTTTCTCTTGGCACCAGCTCTTATGGCGTAGCCACCTCAATCCTAATCTTTCCCACCCCTTTCCCCAAAGTACCATGATTTCGACTTGGGCAGACTCAGTGTGATTCTCTGACACTCCATCATCTCCTTTTAGCCGAAGTCACTGAGGTTTTACTTCCAAATGATAAAATAATTAGCATGAGATTCTTTCCCCCCAGGTTAGATTCCCCTTCCCTTTCTGAGAACCCCAGGCTTGTGTGTTTGGGGGGTGGGGAGGAAGAGTGCACAAGTGTGAGCTGGGATCTCCAGGAAATCTGGAGTCCGTGACCAGGGTTCTATGACTCTAGGGATCAGAGCTGAGACACAGGATCCAGCAGGAGGGTCGCCACCCCTTCCCTTGCTGGAGCCCCCAGACTGGGGTTTTGATGACTCCCACGTGAGATGTTGACGGTGTACAGGGAGATATTGTGAACACAACACCCTCAGAGCTGTAGTTGGCGTGTGTGAATGTGTACTTGCCGTTCTGTTCAGTGAAGAGATGATTTCTGTTTCCAGTACTGCTTTCTCGGCAACTACGTACCCCATATGCACTTTCTATACTAGTGGTGTGTTCAATCTTGTCTGTCCAGTTAAGTTGGAGACACAGAGAACCAAGTCCCATTCCTTGGAGGGGGTGCTTCCACCTCTCCTTCAGTAATTCTGTGATCCCAATCCAGCTGTCTTCTAGAGAATTCTTCTAGCTCCTGGTGTGCCTGCTCACCAGCAGCTGGAAGACAGATCTGCCTGCCTGACCAAAGCTGCTTGTTCCGTGGCATGTTTGTTTTTCCCCATGTGGTGGCTGTCCTGGCTGAGGGCCTGCCTGCTGCCTTCCCCTATCCCTTGCCCTGTTGGGGGTTCAGGGTGCATTCTTTGCTATGGCCTGCTCTTTCAGCATTATGATTCCGCCCCCCCCCCCCAAAGATCTTGACTCCTCCCTTAAACACCATGGAATATTAAAACAAAACAAAACAGAACAAAAACAAAGTGGACTCCTTTTGTGCATTTGGAGGATCAGCCTTTTTGTCAGGGTGCTGGGCTACAGCAAATGTGTCTGGACCCCAGTATTCTTGAGATACTGGGGGTAGCTTTTTGAAAGAGGGGAGGCTGGATCTTAGTGGTTTTTAAACTGTACTTGAACACTTTGGAGCCCATACTTGTGCCCTGGGAGTGTCCTGCAGACAAACCTGGCATGATCTTTAATCTTTAAAAGAAGGCTGGACCCCACCTCAGGCAGGTGGTTCTGGGTCCAAAGTTGGTGCCAGTTTTGCATTCACACCCCCCACAACCAGCTCAGGTGCAGCCCTGCCCGGGAGGGGTGCCCTGACTGTGAAGGAGCCTCGCAGTTGACCCCGCCTTAAACAACCAACCAACTTTCTGGCCGAATCCCCGGGGGTTTGAGTGCCAAGTGCTCTGGAAACCTTTTCTCTTTGGCTCAGCCCAAAAACAACAACAACAACAAAAACCACCACACACACACACACACACACAAAACCACCCCTCCTTCCTTCCCTAAGGGTTTGGGGGAATTTTCTTAAACATCTAAATTAGGGTTAAGTCCAAGCTGCAAGGCACAGCCGAGTTCTGCTGTCCTTGCTGAGAAACCAATAGGATGGTTGGGAGGAAAATCAGAGTTTGACCTCACCCTCTTTGGGACAGAGGAGAGGCAGGTGACACCAAGGAGGGGCAGGCCAGAGGAGGGCGGTTCACCCAAGGGACCCCCCACTCGAGGATTCCCGCTGTCCTTTTCTATTTGTTTCTGTGGGTGGTGCCAGCCAGTCTGACCTTGCCGAGGGTCAGACTGTTCCCAAGTGTGTAACTTTCAGTATTGTCTGTGACGGGTGGTTCTGTGGTGGACATGGTTTATTAGCTGCCTTGTACAAAATCCGTTAGAAAAGAAAATGTAAAATACCAGATTTCTAACAAGACAAAAGCAGCATTATGGAGTTAAAAGATTTTTCTAATTGGTCTTGATTTTGATGTGAGCTGGTTTTTAACTCTCAAATGTTGTCACTTAAATAAAATCCTTATTTGCCTTTAAAATGTGCTTTGCTTTGGACTAACTTGAGAAAGCCTTCCTTTGACTCCTGTTTTCCCTGAGCTGGGATTTGGGGGACAAGCAGCCTGAGAGCAGAGAAGACAGGGGAGACAAAATTATCACACCCCAAACTTAGGATGCACAGCAATGTCAGGGTGGGCTGTGGGGGGAATGTGAAAGGGAACAAATGTTAAATGTGGAAAGAGTTTATTATTAAAAAGCGATGTGATCTAGGAAACTTACACACTGGTTTCTTTCTAATAAAAATGACAAAGCAGATTTCTTAAGTAATTTACAAAAGACAGAAACTGCTCTTGAAGAGGGCTCCTCCCCGTAAGTCCACAGTGCCCCATGCTGAGCTCATTATAAATAGGCCCAGGGTCCCACAGCCTGGAAACATCTCCTCTCTCTTCCTCTGGGGTCCTGAAGGTGGTGGTGGGGAATCAGGGATGAAATTGGGTCCCCAAGAATCTCTGCATTAGAAATACAGGAGGTGAGTCCACACATGACACTCCAAGGACCCTGCTCCTGGCTGCATGGTTCAGAACTCTCCAGCATGTTCTAATGTCTTCCCATTATGGATAAGGCCCCCACACCGTGTGGGATTAGTTCCTAAGTACAACAGTCCCTAGGGAGAGGGTAGGAGCAATTCCAAGATTTCTCCAAATCACTTAGGTGGTGGCAGGTGGTCACTGATGGGCCTGGATGTGGCTGAAGCAGAAGAGACCTGGGCCCTTGTTGGTCAGGTCCTTGTCAGCAGCAGCTCAGGGTTGCTGATGACTCGGGGGGCTTCTTCCAGGAAGTTCATGGCACAGACATCCTGGTGTGAGGGCTCTGGTGGCCAGACAGGGCTCATTTCCTGCAAGACAGAGCTCCCTTTGCACCCCTTGCTGTGCTCAAAAGAGCAGTAAGGGCACCATAGCTTTCCCCTTAAAATGGGGGGCTGGAAGATGGCTGTAGGTACTTGGGGTCCCAGCATGCTCAGTGATTGGGTGTCAGGGAAGGTAACAGCTCTGGCTCAGTAGAAGACTCATACACTTCCCACTCTGCCCTTGTGCACCCTCTCTGTGGGTTTTTCTCAAAATAGACTCATTTCTTTAACTCACTTGCACATAGGTCTACACACTCATGCATGAGGAGGAGAAAGACCCTGCTGTGGGAGGAGGGTCTTAGGAGTCATTACCTGGAAGGTGCTGTCCTCAGTGACGAATGAGGGAGATGGTCATGTCACCACTAGGGATGGAGAAGGGGGTGGGGTTGATGCTTCTGGGTGCTGCAGGCTCTGAGGGGCTCCCCTAGTCTAGACTAGACAAGACTAGAACCTGAAAATGTGGTGGGAACATGGCCGTTCGACACAGAGCTGGAAGGGCCTTGCCTAAGAGCCCGCTGTAACCATTATACAAAGGAAGAAACTGTCCCAAGTTAGGGCAGATTCAGAACAGAGGCCCTGCCTGCAGAATGGGGGTCCTGAGCAGACAGAGCAAGAATTCCATAGCAGCCATGTCATTTGCCCCCCAATTCCATGGTTAGGCAGGGCATAAAGGAGCCATGGGAAGTAGTGGAGGAAAGGCAGGTCCTTCAGGAGTTAGATAGCCAGTTACATGTGGGGTTCCAAACAAAGGTGGGATCCCAAGGACTTGAGGACATCCAGGGTGCATCCTTCACCATTACCTCAATCTAGGTCTTTCATCCCTTATGTTTCCATAAGGAGACCAAGGCCCGGAGAGGGGCAGGGACTGGTCAGCATCACATAGCAGGTCTGAGCCAGAACCATCAGCCTGCCTACCAAGAGGACCTGGCTAAAAGGGACTCTCCCAGACACCACTCTGTAGCATGGATGCCAACTCACCTCTCTTCAGCCATAATGGCTTTGTTCAGCTTTTGGGACAGCTTCTGGAGATGCTGAATTCCTGCTCCCACAGGCTCTAGGTCACTGTCAGACTCGCTGATCACAAGGAAAAGCCACATCAGGGACCAGTTGGAGGCCTGGGGCTTTTCCTTCCTCCCAACCCAGCACTGGGTCCTGGCCTGTGGACCCAGGTGGCTCTGGTGGGCTGGGAATACCTCACCGCAAATCCTTACTCTGGGAAGTGACATCAAAGCCCAAGAGATTGAGGCCATAGGCAGTTGATGTTGTAGATAAGTGAGCCCTGCTGTTCCCTACTTGGAACCTGAGCTTCCACCCACCCCAGATGGCTTTCCCAGGAGGCTGGGGAAAATGGGATCAGTCAGAACTAGGATTACCACTTCCTTTTACAGACAGGGAATCTGAGGCCCTAAAGGATTTATTTCAGGCCCAACATTAGCTCTGGGGGCAGAGCTGGGCCAGAACACAGATGTGATTCATTTCAGTGTGCTGTGGCTCCAGGTAGCCATGGGAAGTGCTCAGAAGTCCCTGGGGCTTAGTTAGTGTTTGCAGGGTCAGGGAAGGGAAATTGTGCCTGGGCTCAGAGGCCACTAGTCCTGGGGAGAGGCATTGTTCCACTTGCCTGGGAGAGCAGAGGGGCTCTGTTGATGAGTAGGGGCTCTGGAAGGCAGCCTCCCTCCTTGGCCGCCGTCGTGGATGGACACGTGGGTCAACCCGGGCACAGAGGCGGTGATGCTCCCTCTCCTGGAGGTCTGAGGCGGCTCTAGACAGCCGAGTGTTCTTCTGGGTCAGGCTGGGAGGTGGGGAGCTACTGTCCTTCTGCACCCCTCTCTTCCTCCTCCTGGCTTTCACCTGTGTTTCCACCAGCCACTTGGTGCCACTTTGGCAGGACTCCTGGATTCTCTGTGATAGGTACCACAGAAAGCTTAGCATAGATCGAACCAAGGGTGAGCTACCCCAGGATCTAAGCCGTCTCTCCAACCCCAGAGCTCACAAGCTGTCCCATAAATACGTCCTGTTCTTAGTCTTGAGGGTGAGTGATGGGAAGGACTCCATGTGAGCCTGAACTTCATGGCAGGAGGGCCACTCCGGCTCACAGAGCCTCTACGTGTCTAAGTCTAAGCTCTCTTTCCAGGCAGAAACTGACCCAGAGACGCAAGAAGGCCTAGAGAAGACCAGGTCCAGCTCTCTGGATACCAGACCATTTGTCTTCCTGCTTCTGGTCTCACTCTCATCCCTCCTCCACATTGGTCCACAGAAATCCTTCTGTGGCAGTTCTCATAATGACACTCCATTGCTCAAAACCCTTCTATGGCTTCTTGCTGGGAGCAAGACCAAGTCCTAACTCTTGGGCTTGTCACACCAGCAGAGCATCAGTTAGGAAGGTTCTTTTTTTTTTTTTTTTTTTCCCCCAAATGTTTGCAGTGTTTATTTCTAGAATTTTCCATTTAATATTTTCAAATTGTAATTGACCAAGGTAACTGAAATCATGGCAATTGATACCACAGGTAAGTAGGAAGGTTCTTTATGTGCTCGATTGTCTTTGCTATAGTAAACCCGAGTCCAGAGAATGGAGCAAGGCCCAAGTTAAGTTTGATGAGTTATGTGACCTTGTTTGTTTGTTTTTTTGTGATGCTGGGGATTGAACCCAGGGCCTTTTGAGTTATGTGACCTTGAACAAGATATTTCATTTCATTTCTCTGGGCCATCAGGGTGTTGAAACCAATCATAGGGTTCCTCCAGATAAGGACGAGCATTTGACTCCAAGATCTCTCTACAAAGATTGCAGACATAGCTGCCTTCTCCTGACATCTTCAGAATTCCCAGTAAGATGATAAGGAGTCCCTGCCCCCTCCCCCTAAACCCCCAGCTCCTGCCATTTTCTCCTTGGAAGTCTGTTCACTTACATGGCTTCTGCTCTTTCCAGGTGACATGACATCTCTCCACATCTCCAGCTCCATGTTTAAAGACTTATTTGATTGGAAGGCCCACAGGCACCCCACACCCAACATAATGATACCCTTCCTGCCCACACTTGTTCGTGACACCAAATCCTCTTAAATCCACCTTTTGCGTAGCTCTTGAAGTTGTCCACTCTTTGACAAGCCTAGGCCTCCTCAGGGATGTATCAGCTCCTTGCTCTTTTCCAAGAAGCTAAAAAACAAGTCCTGGTATGCTAACTGACAAGTTTTGAGGCTGGGGGTGTAGCTCAGTGGTAGAGTGCTTGCCTAGCATGCACCCGGGTTGCATCCTTGGCAAGGCAAAAACAAAGCAAAAACCAATCAAACAAAAAAGGATTCTTCCCCCTCCAGGGTGCTCCTGAGAGTCTGAACATCTGCACACCAGCTCTCCTTTCTCACTATTTCACCTTGCTCAGGCCATACCCCGACTAAGTTCCTGCCCCTTCTCTTTAGTATCTTATTTCCTCAGCTCCAACTCAGAACTCTGGGAAGTTGTCACTGACTAAGCTTGGGGTTTAGTGTCCCCTTATTGTTAGCTATTTGTTTGCAATTTCCTATCATAATACAACCTCTCATAATCTTGCACTGTGAGCCTGGATTTCCTCTGTGACAATGCTTCATTTATTTCCTCAACAAGTTGCCAGGAACTATTTGGAGTGTTGAGGAAAGAGGCATGAACTAAAAATCAAGTCATGGAGTCCATATTTTTGGGGGCTCCCTAAGGGTAAGAACTACTGGCACCAAGGATCATTTACCTGGGACATGGCGCCTAAGGCAGTCTTAGCTGAGCGAGCTGCAGCCTGTAGGCCCTGCTTCTCGGGCTCTGGGGTTTCCAGGCGTTTCCAGGAGGGGCCTGCTCGGAGGTTAAGGCTGACTGCTCTCAGGGGCAGCCTCCTTTGGAATCGTCTGCACAGGGAGCCCAGGGCTCCGCTAGATGTCTCTGGTTGGCCTGCTGCAGACCTTATCACCTCCTCCTCGGGCAGCTCCTCCTCTAGGAGAGATCGTCGGCGCACAGAGGCCCCCATGTTCTGCCACTGAGATGCCATCTGCTTGGTCCAGTCTCCTCTACCCGTCACACCCTGGGAGGTTAAAAGGTAGGTCAGCGAGACATTCCCCAACTCTATTCCCACGCTCCACAGAGAAGGGATGGGATGGAGGTCCATGGTGTGCGACACTT